TTTTCTGCTCTCGTATCTTTATATAGCGTTCATATTTTTATACTTTTACTTCTTTTTGTAGAGCTGACTCTGCTGCTGGAAATAATGCACAAAAACTCCAGAACTGTCCTGTAGCCTACCTGTGCAAATGGCAATACACACCTAATCTAATCTTTGCTGCAGGGTGCAGGTTATTGATTCATTTCACTCTAATAGTTTCTCGTATAAGGGAAATTATTTCGCACATCCATATGGCTATACTGAGATGTTATTGTATGTCGAATTTAATAACAATGACGTTGATGGATGTGCTGCATTGCCATGTTTTTGTTAGTCCATATCGGAAATGTGACAAATCAAAGAACTTGCAACACATTCATGCCGATATTATAAGATCATACATTGCTGTGGGACAACAAGCAAGATAACGGGCTAGGCCCAAAGTCCTGCCCCCACTTTTGGGGCAGCAGTAGCTCAGTCTGTAGGGTCTTGTGATGAGAAACGGAGGTCACTGCTGCAATCCAAAATATGGGAGTTGGTTTGGTTGCTGGAGAGGTGCCAGGTCACTTCCCGAGTACTGCGAATGTGCCTTTCAGCAAGGCACAGAACCCCCAACAGCTCTAGCGCACTCCCTGTGTAGCAGCCCCTCACACAATCCAAAAATGTGTACATTTCAATAAGTGAGAATATTTCATGTCCTCGTCATCTCCCCTGTCACCAAAGTAATTGTGCGAAAAATGAATAGTTTTTTATGAAGTTTGCTCTAGATGGTTGAAGTATGTGACATGTTGATTTCCCCTTTTCTCTGTTCAGGTAGCTGTATCCAGTGGGGAGGTAGGCTCATCCAGGGGAGGTCAGAATGAAGTTCATCGACCCCTGGGGACGCCAGAGGCTGTCTTTTCTTCTGGAAAAGGCCGCCTCTAGGGAAGCCAAGATGTGGAGGGGCTACGTGCCAAAGAAACCCTCCTCACAGGTGAGATTTTAAACCAATGGGTGCCTTCGTTCATTAACTTGTTAATCGAGTCAGATAAATAATAAGCTGTAAATGTCACGCTTCTTTGTTTCTGAAATGAATGAAATAGTGCTTGAAATACTTGATTTATGTTTTTTTTGGTAACATTTTCTCTTCTTTGATTGATTGTTAAACTCAAAGATAATGCGATTACTACGTGAGCCGGTTGTTTTATTTGAAGTAGATACAGTAGTAGGGTTGGTAGCTCTGCTGCGTCACAAACATGACAGTTTCATAACCTGTAATGATGAAGCAGCCGTGAATCAGAAACACAGTGCGTCACTGAGCAAAGACAACACATGTTCTGTTTAATCACATTCATCCCCAGCTGGTCTCACCCAGTATACACCTCAGCCCCAGACACATACTCATGTGATGTCACAACGCCTAGTTTCATCACACCCTCAGTAAGTCACGACTTGTGTATGGGCTCGTCCTCGCATGATGTCAGCCTGTAATTACTTCGATCCGTACTCTAAATCATTGCATGCTTCCTTTTTAAGTTTAAGGCATTCTTTAAGTGAGTTTGCCTTTATGAGATAGGACAGCAGAAGAGAGACAGGACATGTTGGGAGGAGAGAGTGGCGCACAACATAACCGCCAGACCTTCCAGTCATACACTGTGTTTGATTTCATCATTATATGCAGCTTCATAAAGTAGTTATTGTCTTCCACATAATCAAAAGCCATTAATTTTCAACTAAAATTGTGATGCACATGATTGATGTGATATGATTGTTGTTTTCAGAAGAAAAAAAATCACACTATCTTGGAAAACCTGTCTACTCTGGTTGACGATCAGGAAGTTTACCTGCTTTATTAGTCAGGTATTTTTCCCTGAATGTTTCCTGTTTACAAACTTGTTTGAGCGGCTCCCTCAGCATGCCGTGATGTAGCGATCTCTGGGTCATTTGATGGAGCTAATTGAGCTAATTGAGCAGATGGGATTGGCAGTGGGGCATCCCTAGTCCGTAATCTGTACGTGAGACACCTGCAGCGCTGCAGTTACACCACTAAAGAGCCAGTAAGGCTCAGAGAGGATCCAGGAAATTAATATAATCTTTGCTGCATGCATAAGCTATAAACGCAGTCATCACAACACTGGTGCACGACCACTAAATGTGCGATCCGTGCTACCTGCACTCCTCGCGTTCCCAGCTGACCTAAAGGTGTAGAGATTCAAGTTAAATGGAATTAGCATCGAGGTAATCTCTGACTGTTAATCCAGATCTTGTACCGCTGAGTCACTGCTGCGTGTTCATGTGTCTGCCACTTTAATCTGCCCAATGGGACACGTTCCACCTCCTGCTGTTGATCTGTAGGTTTTGGATCCCAGAGTGCGGCCAGGTTAGCCAAGCACAGAAACCTCTGGTCCCGATCCAAACACCCGTTCATGTCTTTATGTGGGCGTTGTTAGTTCATTGGCTGCTTCTGAACATGTTAAAAAGATGGGCGCAAAAAGTTTTCCTCAGCATGTGGTCCGGGGCATTAAAGTGAAATAAAAGTAAATCATAAAAACTCAAACATTTCCTGGAGGAAAACCTCAGCAATAACATCGACAAAAATCAAGACCTCAGACAGCCTGAGGAGGATCTGCTCCTAATGTGTGCGTACATACTGTGTTTATTATGATGGTGAAACATTGACCTAACACAGCACCTGTCTATCAAGGTGCTGGATCTGCCTATCATTGGTTTTGTGTTGTCAATGATAAAAAGGCAGTAAATGACAGCGCTGGGACAGATGTTATGAAACTTATCAGCACCTTTTACTGCGTTTGCAGAGGTGTAAACTGGTGTAAGACCTCACTCTGTCTCCTAAGGACAAATAAACAACAGCAGTGTTTCTGGGTGAAATACACTGCTGCAGGCACGATCATTGTGTTACTTTAATTACATCTTCCTGTGGTTGTTTACTTAATGTTAATGCAATCTTAATGACAAAGACACACAGGCTATAAAGTTTTCTTCAGTACTAAACCATGCAGATTTATTTTTGACCAATAGGATTGAAGAAAAAATCAATACAAAGAAACAAATACTCTAGAATAATCACAGTTTGCATCACTCTGATTTCAACGAGTAGATCTTTAAATCCAAATCCAAATAAGGATAATCTGTAAGATTCTGTCAGAGAAACCTTTAGTGCTGCGATTCTTATCAAGTCCTGTGTTTGCATCTGACATTAAGGATGTTGACCTCATTCAGAAAAAGTCATTTGCTTCCTTTTTCCTTCCTTCCTCTTCCTTTTTTCGTATTTGTGAAAAAGCATTAAGTTTTTACTGGTCAGACCGCCTCCGACAGAATACCCGCAGCAGCCAATGAGAGCGAGCAGACTTTGAAGCGTCACTAACTGGATTGAGTACTCTGACAACTAAACGTCAGCACACACAAGAAGCTGGAAAATGAAAAGAAATTAAACCAAATACAGTTCCTGGAGTAGGCAGTGAAATGTGTTAACTTTAATAATAATGATTATTCAGTTCTGAAACTTTATTCACCTCGCAGGTGGAAACCCATACTACAGCATCCAGGTAGTCTTCCTGCATACAAGTGCTCACATGCGGCACCCCAGTTCAAGGATCACATTCAAAGCATGCTTACTGTAAAAAAAACACAGTAAAGGAGAAATACATGTTAACAAAATGATCTCAGGTTTATCACCTCTGGCTGCTGATATCAAAACAGACAGCCTTCAGTTTTCCAACGTATCATGAAGGGTGCATTTTGTGTCAGTCTCACAAGGAGATCATTCCCATATTTTTTGTGTAACCATGCCAACATAGGGCTGTTATATTTGTTCCCCCAGATCTGTAGCTGTCTGTGTTGGATGACTGGCAATATGCGATATCTGTGCCAAATACTAACAAAAAATGTTTGACTACACACCTGCTTTACAGGATTTTTGTTGTCCTCTACAGTCAGGGTGTGGGACCATGACTTTAGACTGGAAGACATGGGGCAAATGTTAAGCATGCTCCAGTTACCCTGAACTTGTAAATCACACGAGACGAACTCTACGACCTTTTCGTCCCTGAGAAGAAGCTAAAACAAGTGACTCATACTGTACACACAAAAAACCACCCTAAGAAAATGTTGCTTTTCTCGTTGCTGCTGTGACCTGAAGAAGCGGTAGAAGATGGACGGATGATATTTTGACAGATTGAGCCTTTTTGGGAAACATGCTGAAGTAGGCCAGTTGTCTTTAGTTAAGACAGTAAAGAGCTCAGAGGCTGAACGGTGTCGGGTTGCAGATTAGTGTGCGAGCGGGGTCAGTGTCCTTCTGACCTTTTGTCTCCTGCTTCCAGTCCAGTTACAAACTAAACTGGTGTGACCAGCGTCAACACAACTTAGAAATACAAACAGAAAAAAAAAACACTCAAATTGCTATCCAGTGTTTAATTTCCACTCAGGGGTATCTCATTCTACTTAATGATATGGTGATCCCCTGAGCCTAATCTCACTACAATGAAAGGTATAAAAGCCTACTCTTGCTGTTGCTCCAAGAGCGGTATAGCGTCAACAACAATGTGAAAGACTGATGGAGAGCCTGCCAAGTTGCATGAAGGCTGTAGTTAGAGATCTGTACCGGGTTGCACCAGCGGAGATAGTTCCACTGAGGTAGAAGGTGTAACTTAAATCTTACACCTAGCTCCAAGTAGGTGCGTCCATAAAATACAGTTGTCATGGTGATTGTTTTAAGCTTATTGGCTGTTTGGTGTCAGCAGTGCGTTCTACCTGATAGATCACATCCTTCATAAATTAAATCCAAAAGCAGAGTAATGTTAAATTACCTCATGTTGTGTTGTTGTTGTTTTTTTTTAAAGATTGATTTTCCCTCTTTTAGGGCAGGGTTAGGGATGCCTGAAAGTGTCTAGAGTTATTCAGGAGTGCACATGTGTGAAAACCACTCCACAGACATGCAGGGAATTTGCTTAGGAAGTAGCCACCATGCCATCGCTGCGTTTACTCTCAACATGAGGTGAATAACTCTGAGTAATAAACAGACACAAATAGGAATGCCCACCCAACCTGACATTTGGAAAAGTGCTTCTCCAGGATGTTTTGAAAGCTGTAACATCATCCCAAACTCAGAGACGTGCATCTGAAGTGTAACAGAATATCATTCATTTAATAGTTTGGCAGAACATGCATTGGATATTTTATTGAAGCAAAGATGTCACAATAATTCTTACATTATCCAGCCCGAGTGCAGACGATTGGTTTGACTTCAGGCTCCACTGAAGGGTTTGTTTTAGAATAACTTAATCTTGAGGAACTCAAACATGAGTCTGTATCTGTTGTAGAAACCTCCATCCACAAAGCTTGGACCTGTTAATCCCAGATAAAACACGTGTACCCTTCAGAAAAACACATAAATGTAACAATCATTCTTCACAAAGAAGCAGATTTTCATTGGACAGAAGCTTGAGGTAAACATATGCAAAGGAAATGTCAGCTGTCAGATGGTGAAAAACCTGGAATTCCTGGAATGTTTTTGTTACAAGGTTTGGTCTGATTGTTGAGGAAGATCCTGTTGCTCTGTTTAGTGGGAACATGTCCGACAGGAAGGCCTCCTCCGGGTCCTCATGAGATACTCCAAACTAGTAGCTGCATCTGGGAAGTTAGTCCTGTTTGGCCCTGGAGCAGAAAGCATGACACATAATAATATAATAAATAATTTCCTCAACATGACAAATAAGTTCAGTGTGCTCACACCTCAGCCGTGTTTTCAGTGAACAGCAGGTTATAAATTCACAGCCACAAGAAAACAAAGCGTAATATGTTGTGACGACAAAACAAACTCACGGCCACACAAAGGAAGTGTTGTTTAGCCTGCTGCAGTGAAAACAGTGTTTCAACTGCGATGAGGCCTCCTGTGACAAACAAGTCCATTAAAGGCTTCTGCCTCATTAGCTTCAGTGGTCAGAACAAACAGCTTACGGGGACGAAGCCGCTGATGTTTAACTCTTGTTTGTTTGTTTGTTTGTTTGTTTGTTTCAGGATACAGACATCTCCCCGGCCCAGCGGGACGAGGCCGTGCGCTGGTTGACGGAGCTCCACGGCAGGCTGCAGCTGTACCCAGAGACCCTGGTGTTAGCTGTTAGCATCCTGGACCGCTTCCTCGCTCCCATCAAGGTAACAAAAAAAAACAACAACAAAAAAAAAAACATCACTTACAAAACATCAAACATCTTTAATCCTGATGTGGCCCTGATGTCTGACTCTATTCACTGTCCCAAAAATAAATCTTAAAAAATAAGTAAGTAAGACAAACGTCTTGATTTCTTCGTCTGATACTCCCACTGCTGTGCTGCTACGATGATGAGGATCGTCCTAACAGCTGTCTGTCTCACAGCTGGGTTTACTCAGGAGCAGAGATATAGCTGAATGTCAGGTCAGGACAAAGCTCCACTCCACAGACAGAAAGTTCATGTTTGTGGCTGTGGAATAAAATGTTCTGAGATAAGCAGGACCCATGGACTCTGTGTATTCCTGATAAGACTCACTGTTCAGCACTGTGTGTCTGGAGCCCTTCAGACCAAAGTTAATCAGGGATGTCTTGTCAGCTGGATACACAGCTATATACAGCTTTTGTCCTGTCAAATTTAGAGAGTTTGAACCACTTTTTGATTTTGTTATCCCGCCTACATCAGTGATAAAAAATGGCTACCACGTCTTTTTTTTTAAATCATGCTAAAGAGAAATATACTCGGCATCCATGCACATCACAAAAACAAGAGCATACACATTTAATAACACCAGGAAGATTAAAAAGAACTATATGAAGGCAGCACATCTCAAGTTCCAAGTTAGGGAGGACAAAACATTGACTAGCCCGCTTCCATCGCTGCATCACCTTTTGGCTTGACCTCTGTCTGGCAAACCGAGGGGCGTCCAAAACGGCCGTGTGGGGGGGTAGCCTTAAACCTGCCTACCTTCTCTGGTCCAAACAAATCCAGATCATTCAGGATCAGAATCTAAAGTTAGAAGGAGGACATACTGGCTGCTGTATTGTTGTCAGAGAAGCCAGCACTTCAACATAGCATGTTTCCAACATAAAAGTTTCCTTAATGTCTGATCAGATAGTAAGATCACTTTATCATTTTATACTACGTATGTTACGGATTGCTCCATGAGTTGCTGTCTCTTGACTTTTCTTGACTTTTTCCACTGAGTTGTTTAAAGACAATAATCCTCTTAAATGTGGAGTGAAAATGTGCTGTAAAGCAACAAGTGGGTCTGTCTTTTTCATCTTCCACCAGAACTAGCATCTTGATAACTGAATCACATTCATCAGCTGAAGCTCGCTTCAGGACTGTGGTGTTAACCTGACTGTGAAATTTTACCGAGTTACTGATTGATTGTTTGTCTTCAGGCCCGTCCAAAGTACCTCCGCTGCATCGCCATCGCCTCCTTCTTCCTGGCTGCCAAGACCTGTGAGGAAGATGAGGTGAACACACACTCACACACATCAGAAAGTAGACACTTGTGTTTTCCACATATTTACACAGTGAATGTAGCTGACAAAGCCCCAGATGAGTTTGAATTTATTTATTTAGTAAAGTATAGCCCCTTTTGATGTACCATCTCATTTTTGAAGGGGTCCTAACAGAAAACAAAGTAATACACAACAACCAGACAAAACATCATTACTTAACAGACATTCATCAGTTACACAAATACATATAGCTCTCTCAGCTGTTGAACAAGACCGGGTTAAGAAAAAGAGAACAACATCAGAGGTGAACTGGCTACTGCTCTGGTCATGAATGATTGCTCTTTGTTGTGTGAATTTCACAGACAGAAATTGAATGATGCCCTAAAGCTTCACCGACACCTGAGAGATATCTAGCAGTTACAAAAACACCTTGACATTTCAGAGAGTCTAAATCTGGTACAGAGAAATTTGTCTTGACTGCAGCAACGGCCGAAAGCGAATGAGAGTGCATGAAACAGAGAGAGGGAAATATCGAGGGGAGGATTGTAAAAAAAAAAAAAAAAAAAAAGCAACAGAACATTATATTCTTTCCTTTTTTATACTTGTTTATGAACTTCAAATCAAAACACAAAAAAATCTTGTATTAGTAGCTCTTTCAAGTGTTTATGTAGGATCAATTTTTCAACTGAATTCTCACAGTTGTTTCTGTTTCTTTGTGTGTGTGTGCGTGTGTGTGTGTGTGTGTGTGTGTGTTTGTGTGTGTGTTGGTCTCTTTGTGTGTTTGTGTGTATGTCAGTGTGTTCCCTCTCTGAAGGAGCTGGTTGACTCCAGCAGCTGTGGCTGTTCTTCTGCAGAGATCCTGAGGATGGAGCGTCTCATCCTGGACAAACTGAACTGGGATCTGCACACCGCCACAGCACTGGACTTCCTGCACATTGTACGTCTTTATACACACACACACACACACACACACACACACGGACACATGCAACCTTCATTGTGTCTCATATTATCTGATCTCATTCTCTGGCCTTGGTTTGTGTTTGTGTCTGAGAAATCCATTCAGTGCAGCTTGTCCCACCTAGTGGTAAAAAGAGGTTACTGTAGACTTTCTGCACCTTACTTTCAAACGTCTTTCTCTGCATTAAAGTCAAGATCTCAGCCTCCGTACTGTCTCTAGTAGAAGGGCAATCTTCACAAAGCAAAAACAGATGGAGCTGCACAGAAACTGAGCGTTGTGCATTATGCTGAACACAATGAAAATCTTCATGCAGGAGGACAAAACGAGCGCATACACAGCATGCAGCACAGTAATCGTTTAAACTCGATTATCTTGTTTTCATGATGATGCAAAACCAAAATCCTAATTGTAACTTGAATAAATGTCCAGCACTAACGTGAAATAAATACACAACACCAAACGTTCAGACAATATCATCAAAACCGTTTTGATCTGCTGCTCTCAATCTGATGGTTAGAGTTTTTAAAACCGCTGTCGTTGAGGGTTATACACTGATTTCTAAAATAGACTAAATAACTCACAAAACATTTACATGGAATGGGATTTTCTACTCTCCTAATCTTGTATTTATGTTTTTTTCTTCCCCACAGTTCCATGCGATGGTGTTGTCGTGTCGTTCTGGGTTTTTGGACTCCATGTTGGGACTGAACCGCTCTCAGCACCTCTCCATGCTCACACGACGGCTCTACCAGTGTCTGTCCGACCACACACTCATACAGGTAGACACACACACACAAACATCCTCACTTTATCCTCATAGAAATCTTTTTACCCCCTGCCTGAAAACTGATCAAGTTTGACCCTCATGTGCTCCCGTAGCTGAGAGGATCCATGCTGGCCTTGGCCCTCATCACTCTGGAGCTGGAGACCTGCTGTCCTGACTGGCTGGCTCTCACCATCGACCTGCTGAATAAGGCACAGGTACCAAAGCCAATCCGCCTTCCTGTCATTCAGCAGCTGCAAATGTTCAAATCTGACCTCGGCCACTTTGCTGCATGTCATCCCCCTACTCTCTCCTCCCAATGTTTCCTGTCTCTCTTCAACTCTCCTATCTAATAAAGAAAAAAAAAGGCCCAAAAATATCTTTCAAGAAAACTGAAAAACACAGACAATAACAACAACACATTGTGCTCGGGACTTTCTTCAAAATCTCTTTTTAAACATGCTCTATTAATTATTTCAGGAGAATTTGTTTTTGTAAGAGAGGCTCTGGTGGAAAAGACTGAAATGCAGTTTGGGGTAAGCCCAGCAGAGGGCGCTAAAACAGCAGTCAAGTGATTTTTCAGTAGTTGTAAATGGAGTCAGAACAGAGGATCTAATATTCCCTTTTTTCAGAGAGCTTGAACACACAAGTTTTTCTTTTTATATCTCACCACTATCCAGAAATCATTCCAGTTCATTCCGTCTGTAGCTGCTGCTGCTGTCTGCTTTTGAACCTCCTCTTCTCTGTTTGCATTCCCTGCTCATTTATTAGAGCCAAAAGTCAATAAATTATGATCACATGTTTGTAAGCTGTTTGTCATTGTCTTTATCTTTGGGAAAGTAATGTTTGCCATGTATTGTATACAGAGCATGTTGCTCTTAACAACAAGACTTATAATTACCTTTAAGTGTTCATAATTCAAGAGATTTGTATTATTATTGTTGATTCTTTATTCATTCTGTGTCTCTTTTACCTTTTAATTTAAAGCACTCCTGTTTGAGTAAATATCAATCCACCAACTTTATCGAAGTAACAAAGTTCAGAGAATAAACAGAAACTTAATAGTGTCCCGCCTGTCTCCCCCTCCTCCTGTTCTTCTCTCAGATCGACAGCTCTGAGTTGATTCGAAGCCGAGAGCTGGTGGCTCGTAGTCTGTCCACACCAAAGGCTTCCCTGCCTCCAAATACTGTCTACATCTACCAACCCCTGCAGAGTCCGACCACCCTGCAGCCTCCGGACCAGGACCCCACACTCCTCTGCTGCATACTGGGTACGTTAGATTTTAAACATCAAAGTCTATTCCCAGGTGTTGGAGAGGGCTACTTCATATATGTGCGTGTGTGTGTCCTGTATGTATTAAAGCATTTCTGTAACTTCTCTTTTCTCCAGGGATCAGGAACTCCACCGCCGAGTCTTCCAGGGACCACGCCCTCGTCACCGCTGTTCCTCAGGAGCAAATAACACCTGGCTCCTCCACTGACATCCCAGCGCTGCTCTCTCCACCCAAAAACCTCCGCCATCTTAACCACCTGCAGAAGGTCACACTGCGCTGCAAATCCTCCTCCAAACGCAAGGTAACACCATATCTCTCTCGCTCTCTCTCTTCCTTACGTTCAGGCTGCAATACCTTGAGTGTCCACTTGAGGCTGCAAAAGCCAATCAAATATCCCCATTGATGCCCGTCACTACATAACGCTGTCTGTGTGTCCAGGTGGAGGAGATGGAGGTAGATGACTTCTTCGACGGCATCAAACGACTTTACAATGAAGACATTACCACCGCAGCCGTCCAGGAGGTGGCGACACCTGCAACGGGGGCGATAGCAACAGGAGGTGGAGAAGG